GTGGATAGAGCGTCGGCCTGCGGACTCAAGGGTCCCAGGTTCGATTCCGGTCAAGGGCATGTACCTTGGTTGCGGGCGCATCCCTGGTGGGGGATGTGCAGGAGGCAGCTGATCGATCTCTCTCATCGATGTTTCTAGCTCTCTGTCCCTCTCCCTTCTTCTCTGTAGAAAATCAATAAAATATATTTAAAAAAAAAAAAAGAAATAGCAAGGTGGCATGCTCACTAGTTGGCCTTGGACCTATAAACCAGGAAGTCATGGTTAGATTCCTGGTCTGAACATATGGCCACGTTGCAGGTTTAATTCCAGTAAGGGGCCTGCAGGAGGCAGCTGATCAATTATTTCTAGTCATTGATATTTCTATCTCTCTCCCTCTCCCTCTCCTTGACTCTCGGAAATCAATAGAAATACACACACAAACACACACAAAAAGCTACAAGCTGATATATCAAAACTAAACCATCCACACCCCATCAGCTCACCCCTCACCCAGATCAGGGTTCCCTCCTCCCACTACATGTATTTCTGTCTGTGGATCTGTCTCTGTCTCCTGCTCCCTTTCCCTCCACTGTGGTCCTTTCCTGTGTCCCCCTCTCTCCTGCTCTTTCTCCGTTTTCTCTCTGTCTGTCCTACACCTGGACCATGAAACTCCTGAAACCTCCTTCCCTTCAGGGGCTCTTTCTCCTGGTCTCTGAGGCTCCATCTCCACACACGTCTGCGTCTTCCCCTCCCCACGCCCGCGGCCCCCTCTGCTGCCTGTTCCCGTCTGTCCCGCTCCCACAGCTGCTGACTCAGGGCTGCTCCCTCTGCTCCCTCATCCCTGGGCCCCCCTTTCTGTCCCTGCACTCGCTCCCCCAACTCTTCTCCTCGGAACCAGTGTCTCTGTCTCAAGTGCCTCCTCCTGTGCGGTCCCCACTTCTGCTCCCCAGGACCCGCTCCCTCTCAGCCCCCCTTCCTCTCTCTGGGCTCCCCCTCCTCCCTGTGTCTCCACTTCCTTCCTCCTCAGGCTACTTTCCCGAGTGACCCCCTCACTCCTACCGTCGCCGTCCAGCCCCCCCACACCCCTATGGGCCCCTCTCTGTGGACCCCTCGCTGCCTTCTTCCCGCCCAGGTGTCTGTCTCTCTCTCCCTCTCCTGACCCCCCAGCCTGCGCCCCCGCCCCCCGCAGTCACCGCGCCCACAAAGCCCCTCCCTGCGGGCAGGTCGCCTCTTCAGGGGACACCGCGTCCTCCCCCGGGAGCCCCCCCCCATGGACACTGTGCTCCCCGGGCAGGCAGACCCCTTATTAAATGGGGGTGGGCCTAGGAGGGGGGTGCGGACCCCCAGGCCGGGAGCCATCCGGGCTCTTTGGGCGGAAAGCGCCGGGCGGGGGGAGGGGCGCAAAGGGCGGGGACCCCCTGACCCAGACTCTCAGCCCCGCGGGGAGCACCGGCGGCCCCGGGAATGGTTTTCAGCGGGAAAACCGCGCGGCAGGCGGTGGCCACAGCCACA